CTTTCCCTGGTCTGAGGCAAGTAAGTCTTGGCTTTCTCCTCCAAACTGTGCAACTGTTGCACTTCTTCAGCTCCAACAGTCTCATTTTGATTATGACTCATTTATCCAAAAAACATTTCTTATGTACTGCTTTTCTACTCTAACTTTTCTGATGCTGTCCTCTCCTTTTCTTCACTTAAACACTGAATAATACAAGATTTTTCCTTTCAAGTTCCAAGATCCTCTTTGATTTTTCCGGTGATTTCCAATACCATCAAAATGGTCACAGAGTTAGAACAGAAGCCATCTCACATATGCACACACAGTGTCTTGCAAGAAATTCCAGTAATGTGGTTTTCAGACCACTAATCTTCATTTGTCCTCACAAAATCAGCGATGAGAAGCAGTTTTGCCCCTGGAGCTTCACTCAAAAGGCATTACTTAATTTCTTTAACACTATGAGATTTCGCTCTGATAACTTTAAAAGGGAGAAACAAATCATCAAGAACCAACACTTGGATTTCATTCCAGCAGGGACAATGTCTGAGGAAGTCAGCCAATCCTCTCTGCCATTGTTAGGAACAGCTCTTGCTCCCAGTCTTCTACTTACCTTTAGTTAATGGAAAGCATGAGCAATAAAATATACATACAGCAGTATGATCTCCCTGCTAGTATAAATTACCATAGAATCATAGAATTGTCAGAGTTGGAAGGGACCTTAAAGATCATCTATTTCCAACCTCCCTGCCATGGGCAGGGTCTAGCTGAAGGGCTGAGTAGTCTCTGCAGCAAGAGAGCTTCCTCTTGCTGGCTGCTTTACAGGAAACTGCAAGAATGGACTGTAAATAAAAGCACCACAAGAAGAGCACAAAAAAAATCATCACAAAACCCACTTTCCTTCAGCCACAGCAAGTAGTCAGCTCAGTAGTCAAGTTCCACTCAGAATAACGTAAGAGTTCATACATTATATATTTCCATAAAAGCCAACCATAGAGCAAGGCATTAAAGAAGGTCACATTCTGCTAAGGTTTTACTGACTTTATAAGCTTGAATCAGGAGTAGATTATTATGAGTTTTATTCTTCTATTAATTCTACCAGTTTAGTCCCAAGTTTCTAGATCATAGCAGAAGTAAGTCCACTGTGTTGAGAAATAATATATTTGTCAATACTCCACAACTGCAGACTGTAAAAAAGCAAGTGTAAATTGCTTGAGTCCTTCACCTGCTAGGTAAGGCAGTTCTGTGAAAATATGAATAACCATACATTCAAATTACTTCCACTAGGTGACCTGTAGAATTGCAATTAAAAATAAAACAAAAATTTAAAAAATGAGCAAAGTGGAGAAATGCGGCCAGAACTTCCAAAAAAACCCATTTCAATGCCAAAAGAATTCTTATTCTTCAAGCTTCAACTATCATTCCCTTATTCAGGTTATTTAGCTGAAAAAGCCTTAATATTTTTACTTATTTACTTAAATATATCTAGAAAGGTACCTGAAGCCTTGATAATATATATTCAATCTAAAACTGAGAAACACTTCAGGTCAAAAAGCTTCTGAGTTTCTATTTATATCGCACAGCTCTTAAGCTCCAAACATCTATGGACATACTGTTGACTTAGAACCTCAAAAAGCCAGCCAGCACCCGTCTGCAATAAGCAAGCCATACTTCAGAGAAAGAATGTATCGATTTTAAAATAAAAGTCGTAACTTTTCTTGGTTGTTTCACCAAACAGCTTGGCTCAAGTCCTACAAGAGGATATAATGACTTTGATTTTGGGATATGGTTAATGTCATGTATTGCTCAAACATCTGTAGACCAAAGTACAGCCACAAAGTATTTGCAGTAGATTAATAACTTGCAAAAAGCAAACTAGACCATGCAGCTGGAAAAGTAGAACATTCTACAAACTCAATATAACATTATCATTTAACAGATTCTCTTACATCAGCTAGTCTTGAAAAATAACATAGAACTTCATTCTGGTGTTAATAAGGATTAAGTTAAAATCAGTACAGCTACTCTAGCATAATTTTCTATGTTGGCAATTTTATCATAAGTAGTTTTTCAAGTTAAGTTTAGGGATTGCTGCTAAATCATAAGGCTCCTCAAAACCATGTAGGAGCTTTCAACCAGTAAGTTAACTGGGTGTCAAGTCTATGTCTATCAGATCATACCAGTAACACTTGGTATAAATAACACAATGGAAGGCAAATTCTTAAACATTTTTGCTACTTATCATGTTTCTTTAGAACTAATTCAAAGCCACATTATTAAGGCAAGGCTTCTGTTTTCATCTACTATTAAAACCAAATAGACAGCTTCTTTGATTCTTTTAACTACTAACTACATACTAGGCCCTTGTAAAAAGACTGTAAATGCAGCTAGGGCTATGGTTAACTGATACCTTTCATCAGTGCTTGTAGAAAAATTTAAACTAGACCATAGCTTAAAAAAACAAAATAGCTGAGCAGAGGTACAAATATGATCGCAAAGTCCTATTCCTGCAGATAGTAATTTTTGTTTTCTCAGAATTTGACTTAAAATAAATTAAAGAATATCAAGAGTTCAAGTAAAAAAAAAAAAAGGCAAAACCCCCAGCTTAGAGACTTACACTTATGTTTACCATTTCCTACCATTTCTGATACATTTCCTACCATTTTCTGATACATGGCATTTTGGCCAGACATACAGCATCCATCAACACCTTGAATACTGTGCCTATACAAGACTAACAAAGCTTAGGTCCAAGACTACTATTGTCAGTTAAAGAGAATATTTCATGTGAGTGTCTATGCAAGTCAACAGAAAAAATACAGAATATAAACGATTTAAAAACATTCTTGCAGCGGGATATTAAAAACAATCAAAATGCATAAAGGTTATAAAGTCCTTTTGAGCGTCTATCAGCTAAAAACTGCACTAAGTACACTTATAAACTCTATTGCTGACCCCAATTAACAGGCTACTAACTGAATACTGAAGAAATTCAGCAAGTCCTGCTTCAGAGAAAGCATTTAGTCATGTCATCTGTGAGCTCTTCAAGCTTGCTGTCCATCTTCTGGTGGACCGCAGTAACGTTATATTTAAGGAAATAGACCTCCGCAGGCAAATGGCTGCAGTCAGCACTAAAGAGGAAGCTCAACTGTCAGACCCCGGTAAAACCAAGAGACAAACATTTCCTATTTTTATTTCATTTGTAAAGAGACTATGTGATATTATTTAAAGACAAAGTGTAACCGCAAAGACTCCGTACTTCACAGCTGTACAACACAGTAGGTGGTGCTGGTTTCTAAGTAATGACGCAGAGAAACACCTTGCTTTTCTCATAATTGGAAACTCTGAGTAGGAATCAGAATCTCGGAATAAGCTAATAACCATGCAAGTGTAATTTATAGAATTAGAAGGCCCAACTGGCTGTATTGCTAATGGACGGTTCCCACCTCCAACAGCTTTGAAGCTCCT